ATGAAAAGGTAACTCAATATCAAGAACGTGTTAAAAAAAAATTGCCACTGAAACAGTGTTTAAATCTGGCCTCAAAATAGGCATTATTTTTCCTCAGAAAACTTTGGTAAAAATGCAGGAATTTTGTAGAACACTATATTTTGCTTACGATGCTTGCTAACTCCCAAATACATTGCACTAAAAAAACTATAACCGTTTAAAGCCAAATTCCAGGCAAGAACCTAAAACAGTTTAAATACATATATAGGCACTGTTTTACCTACCAATATACTTGTAAGCTTGTGCAGCCAATATTGTAAACACTTCTGTCGAACAGCACAAAGCTGCCCACACACCTATAGATTAGCTGTAGATTTTCTATGGTCAGATGGAAACAGATGCAACAGATTCCTCCATCTACGCTAAAGTGTGTGGATGGAGGAATCTCCCACTGGGAGCAGCTTCAGTATCTTGCTAGTCTGCCCCGCTGGCTCTCAAAATACCTGAACAATCTAAATGGATGCAGGCATTGTTCAGGTATTTGGAGAGCCAGCGTGGCCGACTAGCTAAGACACTTGAGCTTGGCCCAGTGGGAGATTCCTCCATCCACACAGTTTAGCGTAGATGGAGGAATCTGTTGCACTTTTTCCATCTGATCATAGAAAATCTGTAGATAATCTATAGGGGGAATGGCCAGCTTAACCAGTCAAACCCACTGTAGAAGTCCACCAAAAAGTCATCATGTAGGCTCTCCTTCTGTCTTTATATGTGAACTACAGTAGAGCTTGACTAATTGCTAGTGCTGACCCTCCCTTTTTGAGCGCTGCTTCAAAGGGGATTACAGGAAGTCAGAATTAGTCAAATTCTACCATGTTCTTTAAATAAAGTAGAACTGTGGACAGGCTATAGACATTTAAATATTTACATATTCTTGAAGTGTATGTAAACTAACATTAAACTCTTAATTGCTCCCTTTTGGCATTTTAAATCTACAATTAGAAGCCTTTTGTTTTTTAAAAAGTACAAAGAAAACACTTAATCTTGACAGGAATTCAGAACTGTCCTGTGTCCTCTACAAATTTCCTGTGTTATCTCAGAGGCTATTTAACAATGACTACAGAATGATTAGCCTTCAGGTGGTTCAGATCTGGGAATGATTAAATAGGTTAGAACTGGGGAGAGTGGTGTTAAGACACTGGGCAGGGCTGACACCACTCTCTCCACACACACACAAAAAAAAAAAGCTGTATGTTGTCAGCTCACAATGGGACTTCGGAGCAGAGTGCATTTCTAGCAGATCAACAGGTATTTTTCTGTATTTCAAGGGCCTTTAAAAGGGATAACACATGGGGAAATGTGCATGTATTGCAAAGATGTACTGCATAGGTTTTATTTTGCAGCAATATACGCTTTGAAAAATAGTCAAATAAGCTTTAAAACAAGAACCCCACTTACCTCTGTAGCAGTAGACATTGCACATTATTATCCACAAAGTTTGCAAGAGATCCAGAAAAACTGTTTAAGTGGGGTCTCAATACTCTGCTCTCTACACTCTTATGTGCCTGACCTTTGTGTACATTAGAGGAGACTACTAGGCTGCCAACTCACTGCTGCCAGGGGGAGCAAAAGGAGCTACATTGTGAAAGCCAAAACGCAAGTCTTTTTTCCTCTCAACTTTGAGAATGCATTATTTCAGTGTCTGCAGCTACAGGTCAGTAAGGGCTTGTTTTAAAAAACATTTACTATTTGTTTAGAATATGTAGAAAGTTGAATATGAATAACCTGGTCATAGTTCTACTTTAAACCAGCTGCACTTAAAAATATATTTATGGTTTACATGATTGCATAAATAGAACCTGACCCAAACTAAAACAAGTAACAGTTCCGGGCTTAACGCTGTTGGTCTTTAAAACAATCCATGTCCCTGTGGAGCCCCTTGAATCCTAGGCCCAGACTGTACATTTGTCTTAAGGTGCACATACACTGCACGATTCTCGTACAAGAATCGCAGGAAATCCCGCGATCGTACGAGAATCGTGCAGTGTATGGAAGGCGAACGACCAATTCTAATGTACGGTCGCACGACTTTTGTATATCGAGCATGTTGTAAAACCAGCCAAGAATCGTACGAATCGAACATGATCGAGAGATCACTGCCGAACGGGCCGGTGTGCGCACCCGCATACTGCCCGTTCAGCATTGCAGTCATCAGGGGGGCGAGCTTGCGATGATCGCAGGTATGATCTGCCTGTCCAAGATGGGCAGATCATATGTTTTTTTAAGTACTTTACAACCCTCGCAAGACAAAAGTCTTGCGAGGGTTGTAAAGAGTATGGGCACCTTTACACCCCTAATATTCAGCTCTTGAATATCAGAATCATCATGGAGTAGCTTGCATTTCATATATGAATGACTGGAGCAGGGCTAGTTTCAGCTAGGAAAAGAAGCAATGTCCAATGTACAGCCCGGCCTAGAATCCAAAACGGGTCTACAGAACAGATGGATGATTCTGAACATTAACATAGGTACTTTTAGTCAATTTAATACTGCTGTTACCCAATATAAATTTGCTAGGAATTCAGTTTTAACTACTACCTCCTCTGGCATGAAATTTCATTCCAAGATGCGATGATGACCTCAGATTTGGTAGAGCTTTAAAGCCAAACCCCAGGCAATTATAAAAAAAAAAGTATTGCAGCTCAAAACTTAATACATTAAATTTATTTTTCCCTCGAGCAGTGCAAGTACTTGCATTTGATTTATCGGCCATCTACTTACCTGTGCCACAGAAACTAATAAGTTGTACTGCAGTGCAAGTGATATTTTGATAGAAGAGAGCAGAGTGACAGATCAGATTTTCAACCTGCTGCTTCGCCTTTTACTACCCACTCACATTCTCAAACACACCAGTGTTGTTTTCTGTAGTGTTTTCATGTACATTCTGCCTACTTGCACATATGCAGCCTATACTACATCTAAGGAATGGCTCTGGTGATAGCCGTCAGTTGCCAGTGTGCTTATGTTGGTTCTCAACTGAACCTTTAAGCCATCAAACGGCTGGTGTCATAGCTGAATATGTGCAGCACCATGACATCTGCAGATTTTAAATAGAGGCTGGTTTAATCTTTGGCTGCAAAAGCTTAAGAGGGTTTAGTTTGGCTTTACCTACAGGAGAGAAAAATCAGGTCTCCTGCCCTGCCAGAGGTCTGTTCTTGGTGGCAGATCTGTTTAATTCTCAAAACTGGATGGACACATACCAATCCTTTGGCAGGTAAAATGGCTCTCATCTATAATGTATTTAGTTGGTCGCTTTGAGTTCAATTTTGCACACTGGATTTTGAGAAACCGCTGGAATCAGATAAAACAAAACATGAGCAGCTTTCTAAAACAGGACTTCAAGCATAACTGCATTTCCACTAAAGACTTTAATTTGCACTTGTCATTGCAGCATTGAAAAAGAGAAACTGTGAAATAGGACGTAACCTTTACTAAAGAGAAGTACAGTTTCTAAAAAAAAAATACTGACTGCAGCCTCAGAGTACATCCTAATATGCGTGGAAGAATCTGCTCCCATGATACAAATTGTTCAGTCATCTTCATGCAGAGCAGGTCTCCTGTTCCAAGCAGCACCCTCTGTTGATGGCTAGTTTACCCATTAATTTAATTTTTCTATATGCCAGACAAGTACAATAGCAAATTGTTCAATTAAATACTGGTTTCTGTTATAACATACCGTTATGTCTACGCTGTCTTATGAACTGCCATACACAGAACAGTGTAAGGACACAAAATCACAATTCAGCACCTTAAATTTCTACCTTCACTCAAAAATGGAAGAGTAGTTATAACTTTCTTGTACTGCCAGAATTAGATGACGGGTTAAGCAGCACCTGACACAGTATCTTCAATATTAACTAACTTAAAATAACCAAAAGGAAAATGGTGCCATGGAATACAATTTTAAACAGCGATTCCCAACCAATACTTGTTAATGCAGAGCACAATTGTCCTTTAAATTGCTGTAAATGCTAATATTGCTGTGACAACGCAAGTGCACTTTTCCAGGATTGTTGATGCTTGGCCCCTGCTGGCCACTGTGCTTCCTTCTGCTTGTAGCAACGTCGTTACAGGACACAGTAGTGACATAGTGGCCAGCGGGAGGAGCCCCTGCACCCAGCGAGGGATACGCTATCCAACACATGCAAAAATGTCATATAGCAGTGGTGCTGCAAGCTCTGCAAAAGAATGAAGATTTCACTCACTGTTCTCCAGAGGCGTGTACAGTATTTAAACTTCTTTTACAAAGTTCTTCTAGCTGAGTTTTTTTTCTATACATGGGAAAAAGTCATTGTAATGCATATGCGTTACCACAATGCACAGTCTGAATGGTGCGCCCTAAAAGACAGACCACAAATCAATGCCTACAGAGAATGGGTCATAGAGTCCAATGTGCTAAATATGAAATAGTGCCCAGCGCTTAACCTATTAATATATAAAACTCTGCAGTGAAAGATCTTAAACAGTGTTTGATTGCGTAGGGTTTTCTATATTGATAGGTTTAGCTCTGTGCACTGCACACCATTTGATATTTACCACTTATCAAATAGTACATATAGCAGAACAGCTTAGTACATATTAGTAGTAGTTCAGTCAATGTTTGTATAGATTCCAATGTGTATATATGCTTCCGGTTTCAACTGGCAATGCATTGAAGTTCTTATAGGAATCAGCACACTAACAAAAGGACCGTGTCCTACTTTTTAAAAAGGTGCTTCTGTAAGCCACTGGGGCCCATGTATAAAAAAAGTGTACTATAAGCAAATATTTCTCTCTGCCATAGCAACTAATCTACTTCCATCTTTTTATCTCTGCAGTCCATGTATGAAAGTAAAACAAGGCATCCAATGAGGAAAAAAAAAAGTCCCATATTACAATTTTAATACATGAGCCCCATCGTAACAAGGTTTACCAAAAGAACATGCTAAAAATACATTGGGGACGCATTATATATACAGATCATCTTAGAATCACCATGCTCTCCCCCCAGCCAGGTTTATTTTTATTCAGGTAATTTTCCTGCGGGTCTGTTTGGATAAGGTTACCTTTAAAACCATGCCTTTAAACATACTGATTGCTTTCATTATAGAAGAGACTTCTAAGGACTCCATCTCCGGATGGTTAAGGACAACTACAGGCTGGTTTTTGTGTGGCATCTGTGTCAGCTGATCCGCCTTAACAGGACAGAGCCTAAGAGTTTTCAACACTGGAGCTGAAAACCTTTTGCTAAGGATTTTACTCTTTGGCTTGGCACTCGGCTTTTTCACTTTAAGCGGGACAAGTTCACTTTCTCTACTCGCATCAGCTTTGTGACCAGCTTGCATTACACAGGAAAGCGGCTGCATGACTATTCTTTTGTCACAAGACAAAAAGAGAGTCTGAGGCTTACTAAACAGATTTGTTTCGATTTTAGTGAGGCGGTTTGATTTACGCTCTCCTGTCTTGTTGCTTTGAGCCAAGGCAGATGTCTGGTTTTCAGGTCTCTTGCCATATGGCAAAACCGGCTTGTTGAGAGGCAACTGTATTTCAGGACCGGTGTTTTTCATGTCCATTGTGTTTGTGTCAGGCAGTTCATTCTCTGCAACAGCTTTCTGTCCGCAGACCATCTCAATTTCCACCAGGGATTTTGCTGCATTTTCAAGTACTTGAGGTCCACCTTGACTTTTTATACCATTCAAAGAGGGAGTAGTATCCACAATATGATTTGATGCGTTTGTGTTGGTGACAATGGGACATTCCCACTGTATACCTTCAATGACATTGTGGGAGCCAGAACTAAGAGAAAACACAGATGAAATAATTGGTCCATCGGAAACCTCCTCGGCTTCATCAAAAAGCTCATTGGGAGCGCCATGAAGAGCATCGATAATTTCATTATCATTAAGTGGACTGGTTACACTGTTAGTATTTTCTTCAGTTGGAGCAGCTGTATTTTTTGTGGGCAGCAGACTTTTTATGTCACTGATTATTAAAGAAGTTCCATCTGAAGGGCCTATGCAGTTTTCTGATGTAACCATAGGTTCTGAAGTATTTTGTTCATTCATGTTTTTGTCCCTTGTAGCATTTTTTGTCCCATTTGAATCAACCACCTCTAAACACTTTAACACTAAATAGCAAGTACTATTGACAGGCTTCACTTCTACAACCTGAGCAATACAGTTATCAGGTACCCTAAACCATGTTGGTGCAATGACTGTCAATGGCATCCAAGGATAGAGCTGTTGGTCTGTTGGTGAAATGACTTCTACTTCCACTTGATCTGCATGTGTGCTACCATTTCCATTCAAATGACAACGGTTATTAAAAATGGAATTATCCACCTCATGTGTGAGGTCTCTTACGTTTTTGGCAATAACAGTTGTATTATTTGGCAGAATCTCCTGTAAGCTGTTCCTCATTTGTGTTTGCATTATGTTAACAGAAGCGTTTTTGGAATCATTTTCCACAGTGCTCACCGAACACTGTATCTTGCCATCGCCATGGATTCTTTTAATGTGTTTCACAATGTAGTCATTTCTAATGGCCCCATAGCCACAGTACTCGCAGGTATAAGGAAATTTTCCAGTGTGAGACACCAGGTGTCTTTGAAATTCTGATTTTGTGTAAGACTCAAAATTGCAGTGTGAGCAGACATATTTCATTTCATTGTGAAGAGCGATGTGGATGTTGTACTTGTTTACGTCCCTCGTTGAAAATCTGCACTTTTCACAGTTGTATTTTTCCAACATTTGCATTTGTGACATCATATTTATGGTGTTATTTGTTGGTGTGTCAGGCAGTTTATCTTAGAACTCTTTCTTTATTAAAATGTAGGTATTTATCTTCAAGCATTTTAGGGTGCTGCTCATCACCATATATAGTGTAAAAATCAATTGGAGTCCAGTTATCAAAGTTATGCAGACTTGGTCAGTCATCAAGAAAATTTTTCAACTTACATTTTTTTTTCCAGCTGGGAAACCTAAATAAAATAAAAATATAAATGTATACCAATCTTATAAAAAGCATAATTATTTAATTGGGTCATATAAACTATATTACCAAAAGTTTTTGAACCCCTAACCATTACATCTATATTAGCTTGTTGGACATCCCAGACCAAAACCATAGACAGAAATATGGAGTTGCCTTTACACTCTTGTAGTTTAAACTTTCCTGGGAATGTTCTCCCCATGATTTTGGAGTGGGAAGGTGCGCTCATTCAGACAAAAGAGCCCTTCTGAGGTTAGATATTGATGTAATGTGAGAAGGCCTGGCTTTTCAATTCATCCAGGTTGGAGGTGGGGCCACTGAAGTTCCTGGCTATTCTTTACACATCTGGGATTTGCAGACAATAGCGGCCATTGAGAACTGTAAACACTTTTAGGTTCACCTGTCAGCTGAAAATAGAAATACCATATTCTGCATTTATAAACATGAAACCATGTCTTTATTGACCCGGCTTTGTGCACAGGCAAACTGAACAGTAAAGGGCCTTCCCCAATTTGTTACCACAACTCCTCAAGTGCACAAAATGTCTCAAATATATCTTTGCTTGCTGAATAACAGCACTCTATCGAAAAACACTTGAACTCAATCATTTGAAGGGATGTCAAGATACTTTCCCTGTTGCTGTTATATAGCTCGAGGACTTTCCTCCCCACCTCCAGTTCTTGTGTCTAAGCAGCAAATTATCAAGCACCAGCATAAACCACATGGGGGTGAAAAGGAGTAAGTCACATGATCAACTATACCTGGAAGGACCAGATATTTATCTGGCAAACACTTTTTTTAATTGAAATGTTTATGAATATAGTATATGGTATATGGTATGTCTATCTTCAGCCGACAGGTGAACCTAAAAGACAGATTTGCCAACATAAAAAATGTTTACAGTTCTATTGCCTGCAAATACCAGATGTGCATAGAATAGCCAAGCCTTTTTATATTTAACCCTTTTCAATCCTAATTAACTCTTTCCAATTCTCTTATTTTTCTACTTTTTGAACCATTACATATTTAAACTTTATTCATTTTCATTGCATTTGATTCTTGATTTTTTTTTCAGTGTTTCTTTAACAAAATATGAAACCTTTAAAAGCCTGTATTTCATTTGTGAAAAAGCATCATACTTTGTACCAGAATCATTTTAAAGGGTCACTAAAAACAGACAAACAAAATTGAATAAAAGCGCACTTTATATCTACAGAAACACTTATTATATTTTACATCATTATTTTAGAATACTGGTAAAACTAGAGATGCATTTCGCTTTTAATTTTGTTATGTCTATAATATCTAAGGATTGCATACAATATAAAACATTTTATGCAAGACAATGCTGCTAAAACAAAGGCTCGTCTGTCCCACTAAACAGTGATAGGTGTTTTCATTTGCCGTCTTAAGTAATGACAAATTATCACAGAATAGACAAATTATCACAGAATACCCATAGTGAAAATGTAAAAATTGTTCTGGTCCATAAGGGATGAGAGCTAAAGTGGTCCATAAGGGATGAGAGCTAAAGTGGTTAACTACTGGGTGCCTAAATGAAAAAGAAAAAAAAGAAGTGCAATTATAAAGTCAAATATTTACTTTAAAAGGAGAACTATGAGGTGAGTGCTTTTCACTCACCTCATAGTTCTAGCCGACCTGTGACAATGAGACTGTCACAGGTCGGCTCAGTAGATCGGGAGGTGAGCGAACACATACCGACTCCTTTAATTATATTTTATTTTAACAAAATATGCCCAAGGCACTCTATTTCTAATGGGAAATTTACTGTCTCCTCTAAAAACAACCATTACAAATGCTACAATTGTTAAAATGTATTTAAACCCAAAAGAAAAAAACAAATTCAATATTGCACTAATACTTATACGTAGTGGCTGCATGTGTTCTCTTATTAGGCTTTTATTTTCAGTATTATTTTTAACTTCTTTTAAAACAGACTAAACTATCCAGCAGAAAGTGGCAGAGAGAGGGCTGAGACAAACATTGAACACTGACATCGGTGCTTACAATGTTTGGCTTTTATTCATTTATGTAAAATCTTTATCCCAAAAGAAGAAAAAAAAATGTTGCTGGAACTGAAAAGAAAAGGTTAGCTGGAGTTCGGCTTCAATTAATTAGTCAAGTCCATCTAAATTTGCTAGTACCGTGTTTCCCCGAAAATAAGACACTGTCACTGGGCTCAAAAAAACACACTAGGTCTTATTATTTTTTTTAAGGTACAACAATCCACACTTATTCATGTATAACAGTCTACATATATTCATGTACAAAAATATGGTGATCAGGACAATCAGGGGTGCCGTACCTTTCCAAGAGCAATTTGCTAACCAAATCGCTGGCCATAATGAGTGAAGCGCGCTTTCCACTATCGATTCCTCACAGGCAGAGTGCATTTGGTATCACTTCGCCTGTAACAGGAGCTGGCGCTATAGAGGAGGCATCAGCTTATGCGGCTCTGCTCCCTCCGGTGCCACCTCGCTGGCACCGCTGATTCTCTCCTGCCTCTCCCGCTGCTCTACAAGTTCCCCCTTATGCCACCACAGGCCCTGGGAATGGTCACAACTATGTCTTATTTTCAGATTTTAGCAATTCCCAAAAATAGTACTAGGTCTTATTTTCGGGGAAACAGGGTATATCTAACACTGCCCTCTCCAAAAAGGATGATAATGCTGCTGTACATAGTGGAAAACAATGAAACTAATAAAACTACATTTAATGACTAATGATTTGCAGTATAGAACAGTTTTGTTTTTAGGTTTGGATAAACCTCAACTCTTGAGTGCAGGCTACAGCCTGCACTCAAACCATTGCGCAACATTTACAAACCGACAATTTGAATGTTTAATTGTATCTAATGCATGTAACATTTAAAGTATATCTACACCATACACGTTTGAAAATAGAGTGGGAAATAATTAGAACGCCTGGCAGGTTTTTTTTCTATGCCTCTCTTTTTATTGATTACAGGTATTTATATAGTACCTACAATTTACACAGTACTAAACATAGTTACACATTCACATCAGTCCCTGTCCTCGAGGAGAATACAATCTAAGGTCCTATTGTACATGCATACAAGGCCAATTTAGACAGGAGCCAATTACCTACCACCATGTCTTTGGGGTGTGGGAAGAAACCAAAGTACCCGGAGAAAACCCACACAAACACAGGGAGAACATGCAAACTCCTAACACATGGTGCCCTGTGTGGGATTAAAACCAGGGACACCCGATGCTTTAAAGCTGAATTGCTAACTACTAAGCCACTGTGAAAACATTAAAAACTAGCTACATATTCTACTTAAGATTTGTATCCAATACTTTCAGCATAAGTTAAGAGTACTTACAATCAAGTGTTTAAACCAGTGGTATGTGTAATACAGGGGCTGCTTCCGAGAGGAGTTTAAAATTATTCCAGCTTTAAAAATAAATAAATAAATAAAAGCAATTTTAGGTCTCAATAGGTATTCAAGTTTAATACCTAAATTAAGCTGACCCACACAATTTAAGCCCTTAGTGAAACAGCTCCAGAAAAAAAAAAATCATTTCTGGGGAATGGAGCAATTCTGCCATGTGTTTAAACATAACTTCCATCTTCTTCATACATTACACCTACACATATTGTATACATTTTTTTTAAAAGGACAAAATGGGCTTTAATTTGAAATGACATATACAGATTTAAAAAACACTTTTTTTCTATAAAAATAAATGCAAAAAAAAAATCAGTTTTGCCAATAATAATGTGCACATAATTAGTGTAGCGAACGGAAAGTAATTCATAATAAATTATTTTATTTGCCCTTGTTCATAGAGTAACTCATAATGTCTGAGATTTCAGTTTATTTTGGGAGTCATCAGTCACAAACTACAAGGAGTGGAATAAAATTTTAGTGTGGAATAATTTTAGAATGTGGTACGTTTTTCCCCCCATGTTTATTAGCCTCGGCGGCACTATACTTTCTTATATTTTTTTACATTTAAAAAAAAAAAAAAAAATTTAAACTAGGGGGGCACTAAAGGGTTATTTTTTTAAATTATTATTTCCATGGGCTTTGACACTTAGTATCTCTGTAGTATTCTCCACCGAGATACTTTGTATAACTTTTTTAACACACAGCCGGCTAGCAGTTTACAAAACACACTGAACTGCACCCAGATCTGACTATCACAGCGATCACCTCTCACTGTGATCAAAAGGACTCTGAGCACCTAACCTGCTATTGAGGGCACACACACACACATCTATAGAAGGCCTCAGAGCTGACAATGCATACTATATCAGCACAAAATCCATGAGGTCAAAAGGAACTGCCTGCAGAGCTCAGAGACCAGATTATTGCAAAGCACAGATCTGAGGAAGGATACAAAAAAAATTCTGCTGCACAAAAGGGAGGGTTCACATTAAAAACAGTGCATTCCAGATCTGTCAGCCTCTGGAACCCACTGCATCACAACTCGGCTGGCTCCCTGCATTCAGGGGTTGGAGGGGGCGTGGTGGTACATGATCGCCCACACCTGACCGCAAGGCATATCAGTGCCTGCATTCCAGCCCAGTGTGATCTGCAAAAAAATAGTAATAGGAACTAATGTGGAACGCATTCATGCGATCGCACTGCAGGCGGGGGGCGTGGCTGCGGTGCCATTGACTAATGCACTGCCATGCCCCCTCCCCTGAATGCAGGGAGCTGGCCGGGTTGCAATACAGTGCGTTCCATGGGCTGACCGCTTGGGAACACACTGTGGTGTGAACC